TGTGTGTGTGTGTGTGTGGCTGACTTATCTCAAGGTAACGGTGACGGACTTGTGGAGGTGAGTGATGTGTTGCAGCTGACAGATGTAACCGTCCGTCACATTTATCTTTTGTAAGAAACGACTCCCTAAAAGACTGAGGGGGAGACGTGGTGAAGCGGAGGTCTCGTGTACTTCAGTCTGACCGTTTCCACGTGTTCTCTGTCTTTATGCTAAAAATGGACGAAGACTCTGTGTCGGGAAAGTGAAGCCACTGCACAAGCACACCTGAAACGTGTATTCTCTTGTCTGACCAGCAGAGGGTGATTCCGAGAAGTCAGTTTATAATGAAGTCTATGACAAAATTACTCAACTTCGCATTTAATAACGTAAATAAATATTTTTCTCAGGCGTTTACGTCTCAATGTGAAGTTTCAAGTCTTCTTCAGTACAGCCGATGTTCACTTTGTGAATTATGATCCATTTACAGTCAAATAGACCAGAAAGCATCAGGCACCACCCCCAGCTCCTCCACATATGGTTACTTCAGCCTCCAACAAACCAAGATGGACAAAATGACGAATTGGTGGAGTCGTGTTGTTTCACTTCATCCACAGATATGAAAGTGGAGTCAAAGCCGAAAAGCGTCTGTTCCTCGAGTGTCCGCTGACGTCGCCTCCGTGACGTTCAGGACGAACATGACTGCTCTGTGGATTGAGACGCCGCTACGGCCTTTTTATTGTGGAGGCGAACAGCGGCAGCATCTCAGTCTCTTCTTTCACATGTGTTTTCTCATTCAGTTGCCAGTTCAACACACACACACGCACACTGTCGCTCTGTGAATGAGATCAGAGTGAAAGCACCCACACTGACAGAGCAGAGCTGTCACCACAGAAGGTTTCACTCTATTCACAGAGCAAATTCAAAGTGTCTAGGGGCCCGCGGGGGTTCGCTCCTGGTTCCCATGGATGTTCTCCAGTTACAGGGACGCGTGGGTGCTCTCGCTCCATCTCGCTCCATCTCGCTCCATCTCGCTCCATCTCGCTCCATCTCTACGTAAACAGACGTCCTCTCAAGCGCTTGATGACATCGGCAGTGAGTCGCCCACCGGTGCTGCTCGTGTTCCATCACCTGGAATTTCGTTTGACGGACAAAAACATCCACACCCACGACTGTCGCCATCTTTGTCTGTGTTGGGAGAACGATCACTCTGAGTCAAAGATTGTAGAACGTTGTACAATCTTTAGTCTGAGTTCTGTCGGAGGAAATTTAAAAAGATGAAACAATAAAATACATCATTTATTTATCAAAACATACATTTTTAACAGCTTTCACATTTTCTGTCTTAAAACAAAAAGGTCTGAGTGAGAACACAGAGGCGCTGCTTCATTTGCTCTGAACTCTGACCTTTTCCAAAGCGTCTTATCTCAAATGAGGATCATGAACCTCGGAGGGATCTGATGTTCGAAGCGTTGCACTCTGGATGTGAGGGAGCTGGTTCCTGACAGCTGCTTCCTTCCAGAGGCCGGCGCTGCACAAACACTGCAGAAGACAAATCTCCCATTTAAAACGTCCACAGAGAGACTCACATCCTCTGCTGCCCTCGGCACCGATATCCTGACGTTCTAGTGTTTCCTCTGTAATGCTGCTCAGTGGAAGGAGGCCTCATTCAGACGCCTCTGACAATAAAACCAAATAAGTGAATAAATTACTTGACAAAAAGGTGCAAAAAAAACTCTGTTGAATTACTACTTTACAAGCTGATTTATTACTTTACTAAAAATAATCATGATTCTTAAAATGATGATGAGACGTGTCAGGTTTACGGTTAAACGCCACGTGTGCGTCCTCGCTGTTTGTTTCCCCGTGAAGAAAAACACAGCTGCGTGAAGAGTACACAGTTTATCAACCGCACGGACGTGAGCGAACGATAGTTGTGAAGAAGAGAAGAGACTTGATTTCACTTTAATAGAGTGAAGTTTGAATTCCCTTTTATTTTTCTCCACAAGGTCCCCCCCCCCCTCCTCTCGGCCTCCGCAGCCTTGATGTTCAGCAGCTTCACGGCCTCAAACATTCCGTCCCAGAATCCTCGTCATTCCAGAGAAACACATCAGAC